TATATGTACCACATCTTTTTTATCCAGTCATCTACTTTTGGGCATTTGGGCTGCTTCCATGTTTTTCCAATTGTAAATAAAGCAGCAATAAACATTCTTTTAATAGCTGGGGATGCCAACCACTGAGGGTCATCTACTAGTTAGCGTGCTCAAGTCTAGTTATTATCAGAATGAATCAAGATGGAGTAAGTCTAACCTACTAACCCTAGAAGCTGTGAAATTTATTCACAAAGTTTGGCTAAACTTTGCCTCTGATCACTATTTCACACCTTTATAAGGGCTTCTTTCTGAGTTTTGTCTGTGTCCTTGAGAAATACTTTGTTTCGTTTCTTCTGCCCAGAATCAGGACATTGTCTCTGGTCCCTGACCAAGAGCTTTTTGCCAAGTTCTGGAGATTCAGGGTAGGGTTGCACAGCACCACCCTTACAGACCTCTTAACCAATTGAGCGGATACCTACTTCCTTCATGTTTTCTCATGATGACACTAACTTACATCTTTACTTCCGTAACTAACACAGTTTCGTTTGGAGCAATTTGGAATTGGTCATTTTGGGGAACTTTAGACAAGAACAAGATTGTTTATTTGAGAGGTGCCTTAGGACAAAAGGGAAGTGACCCTCATGAGGAAAGTGTCAAATGAATTCGTTTTAATATAGGTATGATTTTATTTCTGTACTTTGGAGGTTAATAAATGCTGGATCTTTAATCGTATAGTTCTGTTGTCACTGCCTGTGTTATTTTTTTAAAAGATTTATTTATTCATGCATACAGAACTGGGGTACAAGCCAGAGGTTCAGGGGTGGTGAGAGGGTTCACTACAGACAGAATGGGGAGCAGAACAGGGTGACTGAGGAAGTACAATGCTGAGGGGAGTGCAGGCGGGTCAGGAGAGGTCTGATGAGCCATGTGGGTCACCTCTGGAGCGGGGATGAAACTCATGCTGAAGTGGCTTTAGCTTCTTAGTGCTGTGCTTTAACCCGCTGCACCACCAGGGAGGGCCTGCCTGTGTTATTTTTAAAATCAGCTGGAATGTCACTCTGTGTGTGCATGTGTATGTTAAAATCCATTTCTCTACATTTAAAGTATATTAAAGATAAGCCTTTTAGAGTTAGAGTGATACCTTCATATTTGACTGAATTAGTGCCATTTTACTTTATTTTTTTCTTTTTCTGTTTCCTTCTCTTGGAAAACTTTAATCAAAACATTTTCCATTTAGTGCTCCCTTCAGCAGCACATATACTAACATTGGCATGATACAGAGATTAGCATGGTCCCTGTACAAGAATGACACGCAAATTCGTAAAGCATTCCATATTTTTATGGAGGGAACTGGAAGGGATAAGCCAGAAAGAAAAAATACATCGAATGGTCTCACTTATAGGAGGAATGTAGAGGAACCAAATAAGGGATCAGAAGGAAAAAAAGTAACTACAATAAAGTAAAAATCAAAATCACCAGGCAACTATAGACCGAGACAGTCTGTAGGGGAGCAGGAGGGAGAAGGATCAGGACAGGGGTGGGACAAGCACAAGGGGCTGTGGTGCTGGTTCAGGGGACTTGGTGGTGGGAATCTCACGGGGAAATCATCCATTGGACAAAAATGAAGGATGATATAATAAATATTTAAAAAAATTTTTTAAACTTCACAAGATTATGAAGAAGGGCGAATGTATGTGAAAAGGAAGTGAAAGTAAAAAAGGCTAAATAAAGTTGAGGAATTATTTTAAACCTAAAAACCCCAAAAAGATATTTCTATTTAATGTGTGTGCTCCAGGAATATCTAGTCCAGTTAAACAATCACTAGGTGGAATGCTTTCCAGTGACATAGTTGGATAGAAGGGTCTTGCTACTTAAGTACAGTTAACACAGGAAGATGTAAAAAAATTACTTCCCAGCCCTCCCTGGTGGCGTAACGGGTTAGGACACAGCACTGCAAACTAGCCGCAGCTGCTTTAATGGGTTCGACCCCTGCCCCCGGAGGTGACCACACGGCAGAGCAGACCTCTCCTGACCTGCCCGCTGCTTCCCTCAGCAGTGTAATTGGTTGATGTGTCTGCTCTGCTCCCTACTCTGTCTCTGTGAATCCACTCACCACCCCTGCACCTCTGGCATGCACCCCTGTTCTGCATGCATAAATAAAAAAAAATCTTTAAAAATAATGACTTCCCTTTAGACCCATAAGTTATCTCTCTGATCCACTCCAATCTTAGAATGGCCATCATAAACTTATATTACTAGTTTCTGGGTGACATATAAAACCTCCAGATTTATCACCAATAAGTATAAGTTACATTTCCAGAACACCCACCTAAGCAGCTCTGCATGATCTGAAACCTGGAGATTTATAGTCTTTTGGGGAAGAATCACTGTTCTTCGGTCTCTACATAAAGGACTCATACAGTTAGCTAAGACTATGAAACTCCAAGTGGCTGATGCTTGGAGTTGCTTCACATTCCCCAACTAAAAGGATGTACATCACTCTTTCCCTTGGACTGGAGCTCCAGTCCATAGAGACCTCAGGGGGTTCTTAGCAGTTCTCAAGAAGCTCACGGTAGCAGCTTTTGTGTAAGACAGTGGAATAAGATGCTAAGTGCACACACGAACAGCTTTTGTGAAAGACAGCAGAACACGGGGAATTGTTTTGTTCTCCAGTACTCTTTCCTCACCTTTTGTCCTCCTAGTGACCATGCTTATCTACTAGCTTCAACACCTTCTCTAACTGACTTAAACTTTTCTTAGGATGATCTTCCCTATCTCCATCCTGTTGCTTTTGGTCACCTGTGGTCTTCTTTTGCTATTAAAGAATTACGACGGTGTATATTTCTCAGACCCAACTGTTAGGGGAAGGGATGACCTGAACAACTCTGTACACAGGTTTTATGGACCCACCCCGACCCCAGAGCAGAAAGCTCCAAGACACCAAGGACTACAAACCCCATAGTGTCATCACCACCAAAGGAAAGATTGCTGGGAACGGAGGGTGGAGTTAGGCAGCCAAGCTTGTTATGTAGCCTGATATGTGGGCCTTGGGGTCCTTGTTTTTTCATTTTGTTTGTTTGCTTTTGTTTTTTTGCCAGCCTTGAGCATGTTATTGGGGTCCCAGCTCAGTGGAACTGATAGGACACTTTCACTAATTTATCTCCCTCTCTTTCTCGCTGAGTTACTCACTTCTACATTTCCC